GCCCTCCTCGCCCCACCCGTAGCCAGGCTGAGGGTGTCCTCTCCCCCCACTGACACTCCCCTACTCCCGCGCTCTGGGCTGGCTGGGTTTTTTCGGAGGGCTTCTTCCCCAGGAAGCCCGGTAAACAGGAAGTAGCCCCGCCGGCCAGGGCAGGTGGCAGGGCGGGGGGCTCACGGCCTCTGGAAAAGCACTGCCGACAAGCAGGAGTTAACCAGGCGGTGACCCCACACCTGGGCGAGGGGTGCGAGGTGCAAGAGGGAGAGAGGAACTCGGCAGGCAGACTGCCCTCAGCCTTCCCTCCGGGTCACGGTCATGGTCACTGCGAGAGGAAATGAGGAGGGGAGGAGGCCAGGGCCTGACAGATGCTGCCCACAAAGCGGACCCAACAGGTGCACGGGGGACCGGAGCTGCAAGTCCTGTAATTAAGGCCTCTAGACACCTGTTGTGAGCCTGCCCATTCACACCCCTAGCAGGAGGTTCACACTTCCGAGGAAGGGGAAGAAAAGGAGGAAAAAGAGGCTCAGATGAAAAGTTCTGCCTCCACGGCCCAGTGTGACCTGCCGGCAGCTCCCACCTGCCGTCCCTGGCACTCAGGGACAGTCTCGGGGGAGGGGGGGGGGGCGGGCTCTGGCCGTGCTGCCGCAGAGCTGTGCAACCCCGGGCACACTCCTCAGCCCCTCTGCACCTCACGTGCCCTGTCTGTATCGGGGTCCCACGCAGGCAGGCAGGTCTGCACAGGGCACCCCTGTGCTCAGCAGATAGTTACTGTGCACTGCTCTGTATCAGGGACCTGCGGACACAGCGGCGGGGTGTCTGAGATTCTAGCCTGGGGTGTGTCGGGGCGGGGGGTGACGTGCTGAACAACCGTGTGGGCAGCCCTCCAAGGGCAGCCACAAGGTGGGCTGTGGACTGCAACGGGGGCTGCGGAGGAACGAGACAGGCCAAGCTACCCTGGCTGGGGCCGGGACCGAGGCAGTGGGAGGGGGAGCCGGAGGCCTTGCCTTAAACGGCAGTAACTCAGTGCCCAGAAAGTGACTACCCACCCAGAGAAGTGCAGTGTGAATGGCCCTGCTCTCTGGGTGCCCGTCCTGAGCTGCACGTCGCGCTGGGCGTCTCACATGCGCTGACTCACCCTCACCCCCCAGCTGTCTGCCAGGTCCTCCTTACTCCCGTTGTACAGATGCGGAACACTGAGGCTCAGGGCTGGGAAGTGGCACAGCCCAGGAAAAAGGGGAAAGGTCCCGACCCCACGCAGTCTATCACCAGGGGTGACCCCTCATGGCACCCCACCTCACCCAGAACTGCCCACCCCTCCTCTCACTGAGCCTTTCACATCGGGGAGGGGAGGGAAGCAGGCACGGTTTTCGATCCCATCCCGCAGATGAGGAAACTGAGGCCGGCTGAGCACCAACTGCACTCTGACTCCGGACCTCCTGGTCTTCCCGCTGCTCTGCAGAGCCCAGCAGAACGTGAACAGCTGGGGCCTCCCGTTCAGAAACGAAGGACTTGGAGACGGTGAGAGCAGAGCATTACATGACTAAGTGTGGGGCCCCGTGCGACTCCCCAGGCCCGGCGCTCACGGCCCGCCAGTTGGCAGAACCCCCTTCCCGAAGATTACTGCCTTTGGGAAAGCTCAGTGGGAGTGGACTCCAGTGAGGGAGGGCTGGGAGGCAGGGGCGCGCGCACGTACACACACACACAAACACACACACACAGAGGCTGCAGAGAACCTTCCTTCGGCACTGCGGTAAAGCACAGGCTCCGCCCAGAGCCGGACCCGCCCAAGCCCGAAGCCGGGGGAGCCGCCGGCTCTGCGCTGTGGAATGGCCACGGCGAGCATGGGTCAGTGCCCGCTCTGTGCCGGGCACTGCGGTGAGGGCCTCACACGCATTGTCTCGTTCAATCCTGTCCACAGCCCTCGAAGTGGCCACGTGGCGGGGGGAGCTGGGGGCCAGCCTGGCCGGCTGACGGCCCAGCGGCAGCGGGGCTCCGGGGCTGGTGTGCCCACTGGGAAGCGGAGACGGCCATGACCCGCCCCCGCAGGGCTGCGCCGGTGAACGGACACCTAACGACGAGAGCACTTCAGCTCACGGTGCCCGGCGCGGGGGGTGGGCTGGCAAACTACGCTTAGTGTTAACAACAGACATTACCCTTCACTGCTCCTGCCGTAAACCACAGCACACGTTACCGCCAGTGTTTCACGCCGGGGGAGACTGAGGCCCAGAAAAGGGGCGGCAGAGAGAGAGAGAGAGAGAGAGAGAGAGAGAAAGAGAGAGAGGGAGAGAGAGAGAGAGAGGGAGAGAGAGAGAGAGAGAGAGCGAGCGAGCGCGCGCGAGAGGGCTGCTGTCTCCTGACCCACGGCTGGGCTGCGTGCTGACTCTTCTAGAGGGTCACCCCCGCCTCGTCCCAGACGATGATCCCACAGACCTGTGCCGGCGCGGCCCGGCTCGGGCGGCCCGTGGGCTGTCTCTGGAGACCCCAGGTGCCCCTCCACGGCCCTCGGGGCACGGTGTTGTTGGGCCGTCTCTGCTGCTCTCCTGCCTGCGCCTCCAGGGACAGCAAACTCCCCAGGAAAGGAGCCATGCTGCTCCTGAAACTGCCGTGTGCTCGGCTCCCAGCACTGCACTGGTCACCGGGGACACCCGTCACCGGGGACACCCGTCACAGGGGACACTCGTTGGTCAGCTGAGGGGACCTGGGGACTGACAGCACCCTCTAGGCCTGGGGGTGAGGACAGACTCATTCAGATCCCGGCTCCGCGGTGTGGTCCGGGCAGGACGCCTCCCGCCCCCAGGCCTCCTGTTTCCTCCCCGTGCGGAAAGGACAGGGCACCCCCACCCGCCCCTCCTTCGCAGCTTGCCCAGCACCGAGCCCAGAGCAGCGGGAGCTCCGCAGACGGAGCTGTCATCTACATCACACCTGGCAGGACAGGTCTGTAAAACCTGCCTGCAAAAATGGACCAGACGGGCTCTCCCGAATCCTGAAACCTCCCCCGGGTTCTGACCTTTGCTGGACACTGGCTTTGTCTGAAATCGGGCCTGCGGCTTCCTGGACCAGCTCCTCGCCCTGAGAAGGCTCACAGCGACCCCTGCTGGCTGCCCCGTGGAACTGCCGCAGACTGCATGCACAACAAAGCAAGGTGAGCCGCCCGGAAGGAAGCCTTCCAGCTCCAGGGCAGAAGAGAACTCCCAGCGAGCAGCGGCAGGGAGAACAGGCACTGTGGGCAGTCGTGCTCCGCGGGCACTAACTCCTCGTCTTCTCAAAACAAACATAAAACATGAGATCAAACGAAGGGCGTTCCCTTTCCACCGTGGCCTTTTTGTCCCCGCAGAAGTGGCATCCTAAACAGACCGCGAGCCAAGTGACACCGCCGTCGGGACAGGACACCGCTCCCTGATCAGCACGAGTGTCCGCAGCACAGCCATCTCCGCGCGGCAGTTCCCGAACCCACTCTTCTGAGAGCGCAGCCGCGTGTCAGAGCCAGCAGCCGCCACAGGCCACGGATCAGAGCCCACTGTGACGACGACCTCGCCCGCCCGCACCTCCTGACTGGTGTCTGGGCGGCAGGAGGGCACCCCCCCAGACCGATCCCACGCAGGGGGCCCTGGCTCAGAGCCGAGACCCTGCCAGACAGAGCCCCGCGGGGCTAGCGTCTCTGCCTCGACCCCCGCTAACCACGTCCGTCAGGGAACCGCCCGCCCGCGTGTGCTTCAGAGCCCACGGGAAGATGGGGGTTTCGGAAGCACCCCCCTGAACGACCCCCCTTCTGTGAACCGCTGAGAGCGCAGACGCGGCTCCCGCACGGAGACGCGCCCCTCCAGCCCCTGAAACACAGAACTCGTCCTCTTCGGGACCCACAGTCGGCCCTGCCAGACGCTAACGGGCCACTTGCACCACAGACTCCGCCCTCCACGCCAGAACCGGACAGATGCAGGCTGCGCGAACGGGGCCAGAGCGCAGAATCCTCCAGTTCACCCCCGCGGGCTTCCAGAACTCGCCCAGACCACAGCCAGGCCGACGGGGCTGCTCGGCTGGGGTTGATGCCGTCCACCCTCCACTCTGAGCGCCAGGCGGCCTCTCGGTGCCACCCGGCAGTTGCCTGGGAAGCGCCTCAGCGGCTGCGAACGTTCATTCCCCTCACGCCCCTCGTGCGGGCACTGCATCCGGGGCGTGGTGCTGGGTGCCTCCTGGCTGCTCGGGGAAGACCGGACGGCGTGATGTGCCAGCACAGGGCTGGCAACTCGGTGGCCCCCGATCCACAGACAGACCCTGTCCTGCACGGGGTCTGAGTCTAGACAGCGAATGAGCTGCCAACCAACACAGTCCCCCTGAGGGTCCGGTCGCCAGCTCCTCTTTCAGACGCGGGGAGAACCGGTCCAATCGAACCTGCACCTCTGCAGGGCGTCGCCGCGTCGGCCCCCACCCGGCCGGCTCCTGCAGGGCCCTGTCCCTGCCTGGCCCCGGAGGCCTCCGCGTTTTGACCCCGTGCCAGCAGCTGCTGGGCCGCCTTCCGTGTAGGTTATGCACCCTCACCCCCAGAGGGGCTCTCCGGACCACCATGCAGACCAGTGGTCCCCGCCCTGGATGGACACTTAAAGTCCCAATGCCTGGGCCGCACCCCCGACCAGGGGAGTCCGACTCTGGGGGCTGGGCCTGGGCAGAGGCACGCTTCTAAGTCACCCGGCGACTCCAATGTGCCGCCGAGGTGAAGAACCACCGGCTTAAACCAAAGCAGTGACCTGAGCAACAGCAACTCCAGAAGGTCAAAGGCAGAGCTGATGGGGACGGAGAAGACCACCCTCTCCTGTGCCGCCCCCGGAGAGCAGCGGCCGAGATGCAGGGAGAGGAGAGATCGCAGGCAGCCACAGCCGGCCCGGGGAAGACACGGCGCTGGCCATCAGCAGAGCGGCCGTGGCCCCGACAGCCGCCGTCCCCAGTCCCCACGGCTCCGGTGGGCTCCCCGCACACGCCGGCCCCTGGACCGACCCGGCGCACCTCACCTGAAGAGCTCGCGGATCTCCCGGTGGTCAGCCTGGAAGGGGATGTTCCGCACCAGGATCTTGGAGGTGGTCTGCTTTCTGGGGACCTGTTTCTTCCGAGCGGATGTCAGGGCTGGCCTGCAGGGTGGGGAAGGGGTCGGGTCATTGGGGTGTCGGCAGCCATTGCCCCTCCCCAAGGACTGGTGCTCCTCTGATGCTCGGGCTTGGGGGCGGGGGGTGTGGCGTAAGCGGGGCAGTGCTCCGGGGGAGGTGGACCACGGCCTCTCGGGTGGACACCTCCTACTCCAAGTGTCCCCCACCCTTTGCCTCAGGGACACGGGGGCTTTCAGGGACCCGGGTGAGGGTGAGGCCTCTCTCTCTCTACACACGGTCTCCTCCATGGTTTTCTAGATGCGGGAGACCTTGGCTTGTTTGAGAGCGTGCACCCTCCCCCGCCCCACCCCGAGAGGACCACTCAGTTTCTCGCTGCGGAGATGGGCCAGGTGCCCCCCCACTCCGTCGAAGCAGGGCGGGGTCCCGGCCCGGCTGCGAGCTAACAGCCTGGGAGCCAGCACCAGCTCAGCCCCCTACAATCTGTGTGCACTCGGGCCCAACATTAGCACCAGGCTCATCATGTCGCCCGAGGGTCTGACGAGGGGGATGTGCTGAGCCCTGCGCAGTGCCCACTGGGTGGGCACACACCCCACCGACAGCGGGTCTCACGGGGACCGCCGCCACGCCGCACTTCCTGCACGTCTGCGCCACGCCGCCTCCTCAGGGGCCCCCCTGACTGTCTCCACTGGACCAACGACCCTGGCTTTACTTCTCTTCCCAGTGGCAGGGATCACCACCTCGAGACCCATGACCCTCAGCGACACTGCTTGTCTCTGCCTGTCCCTAGGGCTCTGCTGGACAACAGTGCTCGCAGGCCACACGCGGGCAGCGAAACCCAAGTGCAGATGAAACAAATGCAAGTTCAGTTCCTCATGTGCCAGGGCAGCCAGCCTCCAGGGCGGTCCCTGGGGCCCCCGCCCCTTCGTGTTGGGGCCCACGTGTAGCGTGTGGGACACGCTGCGCCAGGACAGGGCCGTGTGACCCGCAGAAGGCAGCATGGTGACAGCGGGTGACTTCTGAGACTAGCCAGAAGGACGATCCCGTCCTCTCCCGCTCCCTGTTGGACAGTCGGCTCGCTCGCTTGCTCACTCTGGGGGACGGGGCCGTTGTGCTCTGGGGACACGTGCGTCCCGTGGGGAGGCGCAGGAGCTGAGGTCTCCGGCCCGCAGCCACGCGAGGGCGCCGCCGGGACGTGGGCCGCCGACCACACCCGGGCCTTCAGACGGGACTGCAGCCCTGGCCAGTGTGCCGAGTGCAGCCTGGGGAGCGGCCCCGAGACGGGCCCGCCGGCTGCGCTGCCCCCGAACGCCCGGCCCACAGCAGCTTGGAGACAGGCAGCGCCGGCTGCTTCGGGCCAGGGCGCCGGGGACACCTCGTCAGGCAGCAGCGGACAGTCGGCACGGCGCCACGCGCCACCTTCCAAGGGCTCCCCCACCGGACGGCACAGCGGTGGGACGGCACAGGACACGTCCCTCGCTGCGGAGGGTCGTACTGAACACGCCCCCCGGAGGGAAGCTCCACGGGGAAGCCCGGTCCCCGGCGCCCGGGGAGGGGCCTGGCGCCCAGCTGGCGTTCGGGGGTTCGGTTGCAAAGGGATGGCGCACGAGCGCTGGCTGGGAGTGCAGGGCGGGCGAGGTGCCTTCAGCCTGGCGCCCTGGAAACGGGGGGTGGAAAAGGAAGATGGCCACCACTGGCCGAGTGCTCAGGGCCTGGCACGTGCCAGAGGCTTGACACCAACCTCTGGCCGTCACATTTCAATGTCCAGGCACGGTCACCCACCCAGGGTCACACGGCTCCTGGACCAGAACCCAAGGCCGCAGGGCTCCCCCTCTTACACCACAGCTCGGCACTGCCCCCCCCCCCCCGGATTTCCAGGGCACCTGGGCGGACCACGCCGGGGTGGGGCGGCCGGGGCGGGGCGGGCCGGGCGCTCCAGCACCCCGGAAACAGAGAGAGGAGGAAGAAACAGGTCCGCTCCCTGGCAGCTAATCTGCTCGCGGACCACACCAGTGACCCAGTGGCAGACAAGTGCCGAATAAATACCCTGGACTGGCCGTGGGACGGTCAGAGGTGGTCGTTTCACCGCCCGAGGCGGGTGGGTGATCATGACAACGGTAATAACTGACAACGGTAATAACAGCGCACACCGGGCATGTGTTCTGTGCTGGGCACCGCTCGAAGCACCTCACGTGCGTTAGCTCACTGAGACGTCCACGCAGGCGGAGATGTAGGCGCAAAACTGAAACTCTAGAGAAAAGCTCACTACTCCGGGACACCAGGCTCTGGGCAGACGGGTCGGCCGCCGTCTCCACCTTCAACATCTGCCGAATCTCCTTCAGAGGAGCTGGGGCGGCTGCGGGCACTGCCGCCAGCGCCACGGAGGAGAGCCCCACAGATGCAAACGCCTGGGTTCCCCGGCGTCCCCCGGCGCGGCCACAGGGCCAGCATGCTGCGAGCCTCCCTCGGTTTACGTGCATGGCCCCGATGGGCGGGGCCTGCTGGTCTCTCCTGCCTGTGTCCCTTCTAACATCCCTGTCACGGGTTTGTCAAAGCACCGGCCCGGTCCCAGGTCGTCAGGGAAACGGTGCGACCCCACCTTACTTAGCAGGAGGGGCCAGGCGGGAGGACGGTGGCGGGCCGGGAGACGCCCCGAGGGGCGGCAGCACCGGAGTGGAAAGCACCGGCTCAGGCGCGGGCAGAGAGAGGGCACCGGGGACTCACTTGGTGGCTCGCTCCGAGATCCTCACTTCCAGCGTGTGGCCGTCCACGACGTGGCCCTGCAAGATGAGACACACAGCTCTCTGCCCCTCTGCTCTCTCGAAACCCCCGCCTGCACCCCTGCAACCCCCCCCTTCACCGGCACTGGCCTCAGCTGGGTGAGGGGGCAGGCAGCTTCGGGGGGGGGGGATGGGGGGGACTGGTTCTCCCCAGGAGGAGGGGCTCGCTGGAGTCCAAGACAGAGTGGCTTTTCCTGGAAACGGCGCGTGCGGAGCCCGGGCAGCAGCTGGTGGTCACGGAGAAACCGGCCCTCCAGTGTCCTCTCCAGGCACGAGTGGGCCTTGACCTTCTTACGCCACTCGAGGGGCACAATTCTCCGCCGTCTGTTGGCGTTCCCAGGCCAGGCACACCCCTTCGGTCCGGCCTGCAGCCGGTCCAGCGCGGTCTGGGCGCTCTTAAACGTAAGCTCCCAGTCGCAGCGGGGCTGCTGCACCTGAGCTGGGCCCTCACGTCAGCACCCCCAGGCAAAACTGGCATGCCAGCAGAAGTGCCCTCTAAAATCCCTGAAACCGCCTATGACACACAGCACGCACTGTCTGCAGGGGCAGCTCTTCGTGGCGGTGCGTGCGCGGGGACGTCCACAGCGAGGAGCCCACGCCGGCACCGTGCGAAGCGGAACCTGCGGAGCCCGACTCACGTGCAGAGAGACGGGCCGCGGAGCACGTGGGCCAAGAGCCGGGCGAGCGAGCGAGCGAGTCCATCTCACGGCCAAGCGGGACTGCCCAAGCCCCTCAGAAAACCGCAGCACACAAGCACGCCAGGGGCGACCTGGGTCTGTGGGGCCCGCCTCCCCACGAGGCGCTCGCTGGCCGAGACGGAGCCGTGGCTGCCCCTTCCGCCGGCCGGCGTGCCAGGCGTCACTCAGGGTGGGCCTGCCCTCACTTCCACTGCCCGCCTGGCCCCCTGGGCCCCGAGCTTGGGGGCCCGGGCGTGGAGAGCGAGCCTCTCAAACTAAAGGCAGAGCAGAGGCCACCACGTCCCCATCGTCCTGTGCGAACTTGAGCCGGCAGCCCTGGGTGGAGCTGCCCTGAGTCAAGGGGAAGGTCAAAATTCTGCTGAAACAACCGTGTTGGCCAGGTGCCTGGTTCATTTCGATGACACCCAAGGCCTTTCCCCTGACCAGGAGCTCCCCTGGGACACAGCCAGTCACCTGGAGGTCCCTACAACTAAGCGAAGCCCCCCGGGGTGGTGGCCCTGCCTGGGCGCCCTTCCCACGGAGTGCAGCCCAGCCACACGGGGCGCGGTGCCCCTCTCAGAGAGGGAGCAAGGGCTGGGGTGGTGCGCAGCCCATCCTGCCTGGCTCGTGAGCTTGGCCCCACTCACGCCGTTTGCCCTCCACACCGCCTGACCACCTGGCCTCTGCCGGCAGGCCCATGCCCCCTGCGCAAATGTCAGACACGCAGCGTTCTGAACAGGACGTGAAAGGGTCCCTGGACCTGCTGGAGCCCTCCTGTGGACTCAGGTTCAGAAGCCTGTTCTAGAGACACCACCGTGGGCACCCAGCCCGACCTGTGTCACCTCCCCTGCGGAGCGGGGACAGGCCAGCGACAGCATGGAGCACGGGGGTCTACAGAAGGAGGTGCCTAGGACGGTGCGGATCCTCGTCCCCGCCACGGGCAGACCTCGGGGTGTGGGGCCTCAAGGGACGGGTGCTGAGGACAGTTTCAAGCCGAGGCCCGGCTCCCTGTGGGGCGCAAACCCCAGGTCACCCCACCCCCTGCAGCCCCAGCCCTCACCCCCTGCTGTGGAGGACCCCGATGTGCCCTGAGCTCTGGGCCAAGCAGGAGGGCACTGCTCCTTCCTCCGTCTGCACAGGACCGTGCGTCCACGCCCAAACCCCTGAGCCCGGCCCCTCCTCCCGCCGGCACGGCCTCCACCCTGGCCCAGGCTGCCATCCCCTCCTGCCTGGGTGACCCAGTGGTCTCCCTCTTGCCTCCTGCGACCCTCTCGCCACACGGCAGCTGCAGCCTGTCCCGAGGCAGAAATCAGATCCGTCCCCAGTGTGCTGCAAGCCTTCGAGGGCAGCTCACCGCCGTTATGCCAAATTCCGGAGTCTTTAAAAGGCCCACGAGGCCCGGCCCCCACACCTGCCTCCCACAGTGCGGCCCCTGCCCGCACTGGCCTCTTCCTGCTCCTCGAACACAGCAGCTCACCCCTGCCTCGGCGCCCCTGCCTCAGGCCCTTTGCACGTGCTGTCCCCACTTCCTGGGCGACTCTCCCCCCAGACCTGCGTCGCTGACTCCATCTGCTTAAGCAGGTGTCGGCTGAACTGCCAGCTCCTCAGAGAAGTCGCACAACCTAAAGCAGTCCGCCCCCACGGCGGTGCCTGGCTTGTCTCCGCCCGAGCCCCTCTCACGGCCCTGTGCGCGTACGTGCAGGTCCTCCCCGCCGGCGTGCCCGGACTAGCACAGTGCCCGGCACGCGCCAGGCCCCCGATGAAGAGGCGCGGCTTAAACGAATGCATTCACAGTGGCTGTGGGGTGCTGAGGAGGCTCCTGGGTTTCCCCTGGGCCACAGTCCCCTCGAGGACTGGAGAAAGCATGGCCGGACCGGGGCTCCCACTCCGTGCCAGAGGGTCGACGGGACCCCTGCCCCATCACCCGCCAAGTGACGGCGGGGACCCCACCTGAGAAGCCCCTTTACCTGGAGCTGCTTGAGTGCTTTCTGGGCCTGCTCGGGCTTCCTGTATTCCACGAAGCCGAACCCCATGGACAGCAGCGCTCCTGGAGGAGGGAGGGGCGGGGAGGGAAACGAGGAGTGAGCACGAGGCCAAGTGCAAGGGCTCCGACGGGCCCCCGGCCCTCGGCGTCACGTCCTCATTCCCTCGGACCGCTCTTCCTTCCCCCACACAGTTCAGCCCCCGGCTTGCCGTTTATTACTGGTCGTCTCGGAGAACCCGCCAACGAGGTTATATAGCCACCACCTGAGGCCCGGCTGACTATTAATTAACAGGTGATTGACACGATAATTAACTCCATAATAGAATTCCGCCTTCGGGAGGGAGCGGGAACTAACGGGGATGACCATGGCCGAGACGAGCGGCAAAGCTCCACCGAGGCGGTGCTGCGCTGCCTCTCGTGCGTGGTGCACTCGGGGAGTACGCGCCTGAGAGACGCACTGGGGAGGCGCGCTCCCTCTAAGTACTTCTGGCCACCCACACGCACACGGCTTGTGGACACAGAGCTGGGAGGGGGAGGGGACGGTACTGTTCGCACCCATCTGGTGCCCTGGTTCTAGCTGGCGGGGAGCAAGAGTTCAGAGGGCAGGGGCATCTCAAAGACAACATATCAGGAACTTCGGTTTCCCGGCCTCAGACATGTGAAATGAGGGGCAGGGAGGCGTTCACAGGACGCACGCACAAGTAAGACCGCTGACGGCCTCTTGCCCTTCCGACACCAAATGGGGCGCCCGCCTCCCCCAGCAGCTCACACCCAGTTAGGAACTTGACCCTCCGTTCTTTCCCAAAGCTGAACTCGAGGGCTGGCGCAAGCCTGACGGGTCCAGGCGAGGCGAGGCTTTGCTCCCTGGGCCTCACTCGGGGTCCCCATCTCTGTCCCCTGCCTTGTCTGTGAGCACTGCAGCCTCCACGGGGACCCGCCTGCGTGCACGCCCGCTCACGAGAACCAGCAGGGAGAACCCCTAGGAGCTGCCCAAACGCAGCTCTGGTCCGCGGAGCTGAGGCTCCGACAGAGCTGTCTGCTGACCAGCAGCGCCACCCTGTGGCGACTTCAAATATTTGTTCTCCAGTGGAAGCCTGAGCGACGCTCCTTGGGAGATCCGAGGTGGTGTGGGTCGGTGGAGTCTATGCAAGCGTGACACTTGAGAAGCTCCTTAGGAAGCACACTAGCCAAGTTCATCGCCGCATCACTGACACCGGGCACTCTCTGCCCTTCTGCCCTGGGAGGCTGATCCCCTGGAAAGCGCTCCCTGGGCTCCCTGGCCTGGCCTCCTGATGAGCTGACCCCCCGGGCAGCCGGGACCTGAGACAGGTGGGCGGAGGGGACAGGCTGGGACCCTGGCTCCTTCCACAGGCCCCGCCGTGTCCCCGCTCTGCTGTGGCTCTGGCAGCGCCGGCGTCCAACGCACACCCTTAGCTCCCGCTGGGGGCCCTTCTTCTGTGGCTCTGGTCACACCACTGCCCTGCCTGCTGCACTCTGGGCTCACGGAGAAAGGGCGTTCTCTCCTGTGACCCTCAGCCTGATGTCCCCATGGGTCCCCTCGGCGCAGCCCCCTGCCCCTCTGGCAGGGCCGGCTGGGTGAGCTTCGGTCTGGCTCAGGCCGGCACGGACCCAGCCCCACCCACAGTTCCCTGGGGCCCCGCCCCACCGGCCGCACCCCCCCCCCCCCAGAGTACCTGCTTTGTTCTTCTTCCTGGAGATGGAGCAGCTCTTCACCGCGCCCGCTTTGGAGAACACCTGGAAGAGAACGTCCACACGGGTCGTCCTCGGTTCCCCGCTGACCCTGCGGCCACCGCACACGTGACCTTGAAGACAGGGCTGTGTCCGCCACTGCAGACTCCGACGGGCTGTGTTTTCTAAGCACTACCTCTGACTGTAGCCTTCACAGGACGCACACTCCCGAGACGTGTCCCTCCGAGTGAGTGGGTATGCCCCCCCACCCCTGGTCTGGCAGCTACTTGAGTCCCCGGGTGAGGTGTTAGCCTGGCAGAGGTCAGCAGGCCGGGCTGGCGTTAAACTACACGTGAGCACGAGGCACGTCCACGGGCAGGACAGGCGTGGCGTCCACAGGAGCTGGCCGCGCTTCCCCCCCCCCCCGCCCCCACCCCCGCCCCGCCCGCCACCACCCGGAGCTGGCACTCACTCCCTTCAGGGTCTCCTCGGTGGTGTCGAAGTTCAGGTTTTTAATAAACAGAGTGCACCCAGGAAGATTCTCCTCCTCCTCTTCCTCCTCCTCTTCCTCCATCTTTGATGAAGGGTCATCTGCTCCTCCTCCTGTTGCCTTTGCAGCTTCCACAGTCTCGCTGTCGGGCACTGGGTTCCCCACAAAAAAAATACCCCCAACCCCAAAGCCATTAAATGATGTCTACTCTGCCTCAGTCACAGACCTGCCAGACCAAGGGCTCTCCGCTGTGTGGGACACGTCGGGACGGGACACTGACTCCCAGTGTGGGCTGGGTGTTAGCAACTCTGGGGGGGGAGGGGGGAGAGGGAGGGAGGAGAGGAGACACAGAGACTGCTCTGCCTCCTCCCATCCTGTTTCGACAACAAGGGAACCTGGAACGCAGGCTGAAGATGATGCCCTTTAGATTGCACCAACTCACACGAACTTGAACTTCCAAATAAACTGTGTGAACGAGTTTATGGAGACCCAAATCTCGGCAACAGTTTATTTTTTCTCAAAAAAAAAAACCAAAAAAACATCAAAACACTTAGTGCACTTTCAAATTGAAATGCAGCTTTAGGACATTTCAGGAACTACAGAATGGGAGCAACGCAGAGAACATTCTCAACGACCTTGAGACGAAGGACGCTGCACTCGGTCTCGGTTTCCCACGCACGCAGCTTCGGAGCGTGTTCACCCGCCGGTGACCCGTCGGACTCAGGTGCGCGGGAGCGGGCGCGCTGCTCGGGGAGAGACACCCACGGCTCGTGGGCGGGGAGCAGGGGGCCACGGCAGCACCACCACAGGCGGGAACGACACGCGGTCACCACACGTGACGCTTCCGAAGGGTTTCCAACACCACGGACAAGCTCACGGGCGGTGTGAGCAGTCGGCTGAGCGGAGACCGGCGCTCGTGATAAATGACTAGGGGACGACGTACGTAACCGCCCTCCCACTCTGTCCACGGGGGAAGCGAAGGAGAGGCCCAGACCGCCCCGAGCCGCGCACAGGCCTCCTCGGCGGGCCTGGAGGGAAGCGCGACCATTCTTCTTTGAGACAGAAAAACAACAAATGTCTTGGCTGGTTCTACATTCGACGACCCTCACTTGTATTTTAAGTGGCTCAAACGAACGTCCCAGCTCTCCCCAAGGAACTCGCGTCTGGGCCCCGCCCCCGGCCGCAGACCGGTGCGCACTCGGAACTGGCCGTCACGGCGGCGGCAGACGCTGCGACGTTCCGCCACCCACGCGCTAACTCTGTGTGGCTGGGCTTATTTCATGTGCGTGCAGTATTCTGGGGTTTGGTAACTTCCATCCTATGACATACACTTGGCATTGGTAACACAGGTGAAATTAGGTAAAAATTAGCAATTAACACACACACACTCGGAGGAGAGAAGGGGCACACCGCGCTCCCGGTGGTTTCTACAGGACAGGGCTACAGAGGGTCTTGGTTTCATCCTGTCCCCACAACCTCTCCCGACTCGGAAGGAACACACCTCAGGAACGGGGCAGAGCCAATGTGAAGCTAAGCTGGGCGTCAGCAGGGCGGGTGGGCGGCTGCCACTCAGAGCCTCCAGCTGGTGCTCAGGGTGGGAATTTTACCCAGGGGCAACCAGAGCCTCACAGGACCCCCCGAGGGGCCCTGCCGCCTGGAAACTGGTCCATTTCGATCAACCTCCCTAATCTTCCCCAAGTCACAGGCCTGGGGCCAGGGACAGACCCCCTCCCCCTCCACACCCAGGCTTCTGAAGCTCCTCCCACACCCTCCAGGAAATCAAACCCCTTCTCAAAGCAAAAGGCGGTCAGCCGTCTGTGCCCACACAACCCTCACCCCGCTGGGTCTGGGCGGTAGCCCCCAGACCCGGGCCAGGCCGCTCTGCGTGCCGGCCCACTGCCGATGGGGACAGACGGCCTGGTCTCTCTCTCACACCTGCACTCAAATAGCTCGACTTTCTGGGGGACGCAAGGCTGCCGCGTGGGGTCCGAACCTGTCCCCTCGCTGGTGCCAGCACCGCAGCCTCTCCGTCCCCCAGCCCCGCCCTTTCCCATGTCAGCCGGCTGCTTGCGAGTCCCGGTGTGAGTCCCAGAGCGGAGCCAACAGCTTTGTCCTAAAAGAGCCGCTGTAGCCTCAGGGGGACCGGCGACAGTGACGGTGTTTCCGGTGGAACACGAGTGGCAGAGCAGCCGCCACCCCTCACACTCTCCCCTCAGAGGTGCAGCCCGAACCCGGACTCTCTCCAGGACAAGAAGAGGGGATCCACAGTCTCCTTTCCCGCACGATTTACCCGACAAGGGACTCCATGGTGTGGCCACCTGTACTCAACACCCAGCTTTCAAAGCAAAGCAGGGCGCAAACTGTTACTAACTACTAACAGGGATGGAGAAGCAAAGCCATGCAAAGCGGCTCCGACCTGAGGTTCCGAATGCGAACTTCAATCGGAACGAACACCCTGACCTTCGGCCACAACGACATTCCCACGCCCTGGCTGCCTGGCCGTCTTGGAGATGAAAGGAGAAGGGAGGGGGCTGAGTAGCCCCCACTGTGCCGGGCACGTGGCTGGATGACGCCTCAAGTTCGCTATCTCGCTAACGACCACGGCAGCCACGTCACCAGTGGGCGGCCCAGGGACACTTGTGGAGGCTGCCGTGTCTGAACCCTAAGTCTCAGGCGCCTTCAGGTTGGGGTAGAAGTTCATTGAAGACTAGAAAATATTTTTTTAAAGAGCAAAGAACGGTGAGGATGACAGTGACCAAGGGGGCTCATGGCGGTTCAAGGGGGTGGCCCCTTCACGACACCGGCCAGCTGCTGTCACGTGGGAAGGTCAACCCAGGGCGGTCAGATGTTTCAAAAGAAGCTGAAAATCCAGCCTTTTACGGGAAAACCCCTGGCTGAACTAACTCAAGGGCACAGCTGTAGGTTCTGAACCAGGCAGTGGTCACCGCGTGGGAACGAGCGGCTAAGGAGGTCTCTGTGCTCTGCCTCCCACTTCCGGCCGCGGCATGGACTCCGGGCAAAGACCGGTGACCCTCCCCTCGGCCCCTGCCAGGGGCCTGGCCTCCAGCCGGGTCCCAGCGCGGCATTCTCGGTGTGCGCAGCCTCCCAGGACCACCGCTCGGGGAGCCCAGCAGCGCTGAGCACGGCCCGCCCACGCCGCCCCGCCTCCCTGCCCCAGGAGCGGCGGCTGGTCTGCTGCCAAGCACTAGTTCCAAGGGCCACAGACAGGCACCTGCCCAGGAAGGGGGGGAGGGAGTGTCTGGGTTTAGGGGCAGAGCTGAGCTGAGCTAACAGCACTGGCACCCCCGAAACAAAGCCCCTCCTTCCCTCGAGGAAGAGCCGCCCTCAGCCCCAGCCCAGGAGGAAGGAGAGGGGACTGCGAGGGCCACCAGCCCCTGTGCCCCACCTGGCTCACCCGCTTCCGCCCCCTTCTAACCAATCAGCCAACCCCCGTGACCCCAGCGCGTGGCAGGAACGTCTGACTGCGACGGAAGGCGACCGAGCTCGGCCGGGCCCCCACGGCAGCAGAGACATCCGCTCTCCCCCAGCACCCGCCCCCCTGCGCCTGCACCGCCCCGGGGCTGGAGGACCGACAGGGCGAGGGCGCCACGGACCCGAGATCTGCTGAGAAAAGGGGGAGCTGGGAAACAGGAGGAGGGGGCCCAAGGACTGCAGGCAGGAGGTAGCACACAGCCCTGGAAATGCACGTGAACTGGCAGAGCCACTGCCACCGTGTGTCCCCAGGTGCCTGGCTGAACCGCTCCGCCTCCCACCCAGAAAGTGGAGACACACACACAACACCCTGGCCCTCCTCCGGGCTGTTCAGAAGTACAAGCGGCCGCCACTCCATCCGCGTGCCAGGTCCCGGGTCCAAGGCATCGCCGCCTCTGGTCTGGACGGCCCAGCGGCCTCCCTTGTCCCTGGGCTGCCAGCTCCTCCCACCTGGTCCCCCCACCCAGTCCGGCAGCACAGCCCTCTCTTCTGCCGCCACAGCCCACCCCGCCGCAGGGCCTCTGCACCGGCTGCCCCCGCCACCTCGCCGACCCATTTCCTCATCTCCCATCCCCCCGGGCCTGGCTTGTCGCCAGGCCTCGGCTCAGACGTCCTTCCCCAGATCTCTCCCCGTCCACTCTGGTGCCGGGGTCCCCAGGCCCGGCCACTTGCCATCACATTCCCTCGGGGTCCACTTTTCAGAGCCCTCACCCCGATCTAAAACCACCCTGCCTGTGTCCCCCACCTGGAGAGGGAGCTCGCTCAGGCCAGGGCCAGGCCTGCCTGAGTCGGCACTGCATGCATCCCCAGCACGTGGCTGCAAAAACATGTGGACCGAGGGCTGTGTGCAGCACGTGCGTGTGCCTGAAACACGGCTGGTGCCCTGCAGACGGCATGCAGGTGACTGGGACCCACAGCCAAGGGCCTGGACCTGCGAGGGGGGGCTTTGAGTCACGCATCCTGGCTCTCTCGGATGAGCGACCTTGTGTAAGTCACTCGCCCTCTCTGTGCTTCCTTCTTCCCACCTGAAAACAGAGGTGACAACAACGTGCCCATTTGCAGGACAATTACGAGAAAGAACGGTGCCTGGGTCACCCCAACCGCCCACGCTGCCGGGCCAGGCCTGGAGAGATCCAGGGGAGACATCAGAATCCTGGGCCTCGCGAGCAGGACAGTCAGCCGATGAGTTGGTGGAGAGCGCCCGCGGCGCCCCCCTGCACCCCACCCCCGACAGGGTGGCCTGCCCGCTGCCAGCTTCTGAGAACAGCCAGTGTCATGCCGGAGTCCGGGGACCGAGCTCCCGACAACCACGTCCCCAGGAGCAGCGTCGGCTCCCCGAGCGGCCGGGCCCTCTGTGGCCCACGCCTGCGTCCGGAGAGGTGTGGAGTCGGCCAAGAAGCAAAGGTCATCGTAAAAGCACTCTGCTCCTGGCCCCGAGCGGGGAGGCCACGGAAAGGCGAGACAGAAAAAAACGAGGCACTGTAAAACCCAAACAGATGTTTGCCAGCGGAATCCCCAGGAAGCAGCAGAAAGGGGGGAAGAAAGGAAGCAGGCAGGGCTGGGCCCAGGGTGGGGAGAGGGGGGCTGGAGGGCCGGGGGAGGCCGGGAGAAGGCGCTCCCACCCGCCACGCCGCCGGCACAATGAAACCCAGTCAAGCGTCGCCGCATGGGGCCTGAGGATAATCAGGCGGCCGAGTTAGCGCTCTCCCCCTCCCCGGCTCCTCCGGGCGGAGGCTGGCAGCACAGGCCGTTATCGCGGCGAGCAGCTTTGCAGGACCGGCCCCACTCGGAGCCCTTTATCTGGAGGCGAGGGTCTCCTGGTGGGGAGATCAACCACACGGCCCCTCCCTCAGGACTGGTACGGCTCTGCCGCACGGGTGGGGGTGATCGAAAGGCTCCGTCCACGCCCCTCCTGCCCCTCCTGCTCGCCTGCCTCGCAGCCGGGGAGAACCCGGGGCACAGGGCGGGCAGAGCCCTGTGTGGTGGGGATGGGGAGCTGTGAGAACAATGTGGAGGCCGGGCGCGGGGAGGAACGGGTGACAGGAAGCAGCGCAGGGGACAGAGGGGACTGTGTACGCGACACGTGTTAGCAAAGGAACAAGAAGGGCAGAGAGCGTTCCCGCAGACGAGTGCTGGGGGACCCCACCTGACGACAGCGTGGGACCGGGCAGGGCTGGGCACCAGCACAGACGCAGCGGCAGGAAACCTGGGCCCGTGTGCTGGCACTGTGCCCCCCACCAACCGCTCCAGGGCCGCCTGGTGGGAGTCAGGCTGCCTGGTGGGAGTCACGGCAGGACCCTGGACAGCAGCCCCGACGCGCAGGGTCTGCCGGGACCAGTCTCTGGGGTGCTCTGGACATGGCGACCTGGGGACACGGTGCGGGCCGGGCAGCGAACTTCAGAGCAGGGGGCACTGTCACTGCAAACCCTCCAGCCTGTCCCCAGGGCCACCATCTGTTCCTGCTGTGACATCTCAGCTGTCCCCAAACAGCCCTACCTGTCCCCCCGCCATGTGGGAGCTTGTGGGGAAGAGGAATGTGCCATGCCCTCGTGGCGACACTGGCTTAGTGATCACGGCAGAGGTAAGGACCCCCATTCCGGCTGCAGAGCCAGCGACACGGCGGCGGAGGAAGGGTGGTCGCAGGCGGCCCCTGGCTGGGCAGAGGCAGGTACGGCACCAGGCCCAGCCCCGGAGCCGGGAGAGGACGTCCAGGCAGACGGCGATCCCCAGGGGCTCGGGGACCCCGGTCCTGGGGAAGCCCAAGTGCGCAGCGCGGGGCTGGGCGGGGAGTCCGTGCCGCTCCTGCCCGCGGGCTCGCCCAGCACCCGCCTGCTGCTCTCCTACTGGGCGCCGGGCGCTTTCCAAGGGCTGGGGCGCGGTGGTGAGCAAGCAGACGGGGACCGGACACCCTGGCAGGGGGGTTGGGCAGACAGACCCTGAGGAAGTGAGCCACCCAGCATGCATTTCCGGGAAACGACAAGCGTCTGAAGCAGAGTTAAGGGTCAGGGGACGGGGCGGGCACTGGCTGGCACCCACTGTGACGACGAGAGGCACTGACAGGGTCACCACCACGGGTCACGCTCTGAGCCTGGTCTAACAACGGAGAACCAACTTTCCAAGTCACTTAGCTTCTACTATGTGCTCGAGGCCTGGCCTCGATGCTCTCCCTGCACTCGCCTACCCCCTCGACACACAGCCGGGCAGCCCCTCTGTGCACTGGGCTGCATCTCACGGGGGCGACAGCCACTCTCGGCCCTCACGGTTCGCCGCCTGGCAGAGATGGCTGCTATGCACGAAAAGGAAATAAAACAGTGTGACCGAACTGTCACAGAGGAACAGAGTGGGGGGAGGGAGGCAGCAGATCGGAGTCGGTGAGCATGGCCCCGAGGCAGCAGCGGCCTGTGGGGGCGCCGTGCCCCCCGCTGAAGCAGGCAGGCAGAGGCCTCCGTGGTGGTGGGGGGGTCCAGGGCCCCCACTCCTGCCCAATCTCTGTGCTTTAGAAGAGCACTGTGCTTTTGGTCAGGTTCAAGTCCAACAAGCGACATGAACACCGAGGGTGCCGCCGGCTTGGGGGAGATGGTTCCTTAGGATGAACCACAGGGACGTGAAGAGGACTCTCTCTGATGGAAGCAGGTTTAGAAGGAGACCCCAGTCCAGCCCGTGGATGAAACTAGCCCACGAACAGGCCAGGGAGGGGTCGGCAAGGTCCCCGCCAACGACCGGTCACGCCAACGACCAGGGACACCGCCAGAGCCTCTGGCGGCGCGGGCTGAAGCATCTCCCCGGCAACGGGGACCCGAAGTTCAGACCAGGGCTCCCCGAGCCCGGGCCAGGCCGGGCCAGGCCTGAAGGCTTTCCCGACGCAGGGCGGGGGGAGAGGGGCGGCAGTAGGGAGGTCTGTGGACAGCGAGACCTGCTCAGTCAGGGGACTGGTCTTTAATCTGGGAATTTTACACCCCCCGCCCCCACTTTTCTTTTCGTTGTTAAACACCTCTTCTAAAATAAGAACAAGGGAAGTGGTAGATAAAAGACTTACTCTTTTAAAGTTCTTACTTTAACAAGCTGGTAAACCTAAGCGGGTACAGGGAAGGGGACGGATGTTACTGATGGGCAAAACCTTAGCCCCCAGTTAAAAGGCCCATCGCGGTCCTTCAAAAAACTTTTCCAAAGGTCTCGAATTCCAAGATACGGTCGTGGTCCCCAGACCAAGTGGTTCTCCCCTGGGGGCTGGCCTGCCCCCAAGGGGCGTTTGGGAACACAGGGGGTGGTCCAGGCCACCGCCATCTCTAGGGGCACCCCTGACACTTCGGTGGGGTCCAGGAAGGTGAGACCTCTCAGTCTGCGGAACTGTCTCAATGAGAACGAACGGTCCCCAGTGCCCACAGCACCCCTCCCTTCCCTTTCCTGCCTTTGCAGCCACTGGACGCCAGAGGGCGCTGGACCACGTCCAGGACGCTGCAGAATCACCCCCGCCCAGGAGGCAGGGGCTGGGGTGTGAAATAAGGCCGTTTTCCCTTGCTGTGTTCTGAGTCCCTAGTAATTGATTCTAGGTTTTTTTTCCTCCCTTACGACCTCTAGCCCACAAGCTACAAAGCTGACTGCCTTCTGCTGCACCTGTCGCTTTTATGCTTCTTTTTAAAGAACATTTCACCTGCCTGTGACATTCAGGAGTCTGGCACCCACTGGTCTCCAGGATGAATAAAGAACTTCAAACCTGACAAACACGCAGTGCGGCCCCACCCCCATCCCTCCCCTGCTGCCCCGGCACGCCTGATCCAGACCCGGCTCTCACCGGTCTCCGGCTCCGCCATGTCCTTCTCCGCAGGTTCCACGGGTGCGTCCTGGGCTCCCTTCTCCTGCGGGGCCGAGCTGCAGAAGACGCCCACTGGAGCCCACTCCAGATACAGGGGGACGTGGTGGAACTGCAGGGAAGGGGCGGGGGGCACAGGACTCAGGGCCTGACACAGGCGAAGAGCCCGAGGTCCAGAGAGGACGAGGACTCAGCCCGGGCCGCAACCAGCAGGGGGAGCACGGCCCAGAACCCTCCGCGCTGCGGCTCGGGCTTAGGGGAGGCCGAGCACCTCTGAGCACCACCCGCGGTCACTGGATACATCTGTGGCCCCGGTGGTTCCTCTGACCACGGCACGAATGAGGAGTGGGGGGTGGGGGGCAGAACCAGTGGTGGAATGCAGCCCTCCTGCAGGAAGTGCAGAGGGCCGCTGGAGACCACGCCCCCCCGAGGCCACACAGTGCAAATGCGCATGCGTGCACCGCCGGTCTTTCAGAGAGTGAGGACAAGTCAAGCCCGCACACCGTCCCAGTGCCCGTGAGCAGACGCCACCGGCAGTGGGTTGAAAGGGGGTCCCCAAAGGACATGTCCACGCCCTGACCCCCAGAACCTGTGAACTGAACCTTATCTGGGGCAGGAGGTCTTTGCAAATGTCATTTAGGTGAGGGATCTTAAACGAGATGGCCCCGGGTCACGTGGGGGGGCCCTACGTCCGGAGACAGAAGCGGAGACAAGGCAGAGGCACACGAGACAGGCCGGGACGGCAGTGCTGCAGCCACAGGCTGGGACACCCGGTGCTGCCCAGGGCTGGAGGCGTGAGGAAGGAGCCTCCCCAGAGCCGCCCCCCCGCCGCTGCCGGCACCCTGACTTAAGTCCTCCAGCCTCCAGAACAGCGAGGAGGCATTTGTGCCGCCGAGCCACAAGTGTGTGGCAGCTTATCACGGCGGCCACAGGACACTAACAGGCCGACGTGTGCGTGCGTGTGTGCACATCTGTTCTCTCTACCCGGCACCAGGAGACAGCCCACCTGCAGCCCTCACTCTCTCGTTACCGCAGGCACAAGGTACCAAAAGCACCGAGGACGGCGGGTCTGCTCACGAGGGCACAGAACGCCCAGGAAAGCGGGAGGCGGGCGGGGGCCGAGGCTGCCCCCTGGGGCGGTTCTGAGGTTCCCCCCCACGCTCTCCCTCCCCGGTGCTCTCAGTGGGGGATGAACCCGCGATCAGGATGGAGACGATGGCCTTCAGACCGGCCCCCATGGCCAGGTCCGCGCTGAGGCCGCCCTGCACTGGCTTGGTTCACGCCCCCCGGGAAGTGGGCCTGGGCAGCCCTACCTTGGAATAGGCCAGGTGCCTGAAGGCCTTGCGGGCCTCCAGGGGCTCCAGGAACTCCACGATGGCGGTGACACCACCCTCGGGCAGCAGCACGCGGCCCAGGCTGCCGAACCGGCCAAAGAGCTCCTGCAGCTCGGCCGCCAAGGTGCCTGCCGGCAGGTTCTTCGCCAGGATCACGGTTTTGCTGCGCTCCGCGGCGGCCTGCGAGCGGGGAGAGGAACACACTCGGAACAACAGGAGGGAGGGTCCCTGGCCCGACACGGCCCTGACCAGTGGCCGACTCCAGAAGCGGGCCCAGGAGACGCCACCGTCCCAGGCACGTGGCTCCACCGGCAAGAGGGGGCTCCGTGGAACAGGTGAGGGTGAGGGCTCCAGAGTGGACTCCTTGGGTCAAATCCCGGCTCCTCCACCTCAGAGCTGTGGCAAACCCCACCGGTGCCTGCTGAAGCCCCTCGTGGGCCTTCCGGAGCGCTCCGCCCAGGTTGGCATCTGCACCTCGGCGCTCGGGCCCTTTCCGGCCACTGCAGACCACCTGCTGCCACGCGTGGCAAGTGACAGATCCGGGGAGCAGCCCCGGGCTCCCAGGAGCTGGTGCGCCCTGGGCCTGTGGGGCAGTCCCACAGGCGGCCCCACGAGGGGCTCGGGCTGCCCCAACACACGAGATTGTCCTGCGCTCGCCCCGCACTCCTCTCCCGCCTCCCGCCCGGCCGTCCTCACGGGGGTCCTCTGTCCAGTCCGCTCCTCACCCTCGCATCCGTCCCGGAGCCCGCTTTCGGAGGAACCCGAACCAGGGCACCGGCTATCCGGCCTGGGGGAAGGCGCTGAGCTGCGCCTCGGCCGCGCCTGGCCCCAGGGCCCGGCGGCTGTGTCACTGAGCCGCCCCACGGGCAGGCACGGCAGCTGCGCCCACACGGGCAGAGCGCACGCACCGCACCGCAGAAACCGTGCCTGAGTGCCAGCTGCTGTGCCACTGAGAACTGACACTGGGGGGGCAGCAGAGAGTCAAAAAACAGACAAATCCGGGTAGAAGGATCACCTGGCCACGAGTCTCAGCTTGGCTACGGAGCTAGACTGCAACCCTGGGCCAAATGCTTTCCCTGTGGGCCACAATGTTCTCATCTGCAAAACGGGCTAACAGTAACACCCACCCTGCGGACCGAGTGAGGCCAGTGGGGGGGAAGCACCTGCAGGTGGGAGGGGTTGGGCACCCGCGGGCGTTTTAGGCGTAATGATTTGGGGCGCTGTCTCTGGGGCCTGCACTCCAACCCAGCTCCAGCCTGCTGGCTGTGTGACCCAGAACACGTGGCTTCACGCTGGGACTGTGGACCCTTGTGGACCACAGGGGCACAGCAGGCTGCCTTCCCGCGGCTGTTGTGAGAGGGACGTGAGCGAAGGACACAGATGCTCAGAGGGTGCGTCGGTGGGTCTGACTGAATGCTGGCTACTGATGCAGCTGCTTCCCTACCCGTCTACCCACCCACCTCGCCCCCACTTCCCACCTACCCCTCACCCACCCGTCCATCTCCCCACTCTCTCTCCAGTGCACCCTTTTAAGGGGAAGTCTGAGGTTGGCCAGTCTGAGGGGGACGCTGTTTGGGAGCCAGACGCTGAGACAGAGACCAGGCTCCTGCCACAGACTGCGGGACTGTGACATCCCCTCCCCCCTCTCAGGGCCTGTTTCCTGTCTGCAAGATGGAGGGGAGGGCGGACCCTCTAGGCCTGAACAGTCATAAACCCAGGAGGAACCCCCACCCCCACCCCTGCCCGGCAGAGAGCGAGCATGTGGAGGTGCTGACCCTTCCCCTGCTGGGTTCGGGCGCGGTCTACCGCTCCAGCGGACAACAGGTGCACTCGGAGAGGAGCGGGGGGCGGACCACGGCTGTCTTCCCCCCGCCCCGGGTCTGTGTGGCGGAACCGAGGTTCTGGTGGGTTCCAAGGGAGCCCTCTTGCACGTGGCCCCCGAGAGACACCATCCGGGTCAGACGGGCCCCTCGTCTCATGTCCCTTCCTTACTTCCGTTAGACCCTAAAGTCAACAATGACCATCTCCCTGGCAGGGCCCGACCCTGAAACCCAACGGCACATCCCTGCCCCGAAAGCCCGCCGGGGACCGAGGCCCAAGCAGCTGAGCCGGCCGCGCGGACCCACCTGGCTGAAGGAATCCAGACTGACCCCGTTGTCAATGAGGAAGCGCCGTACTTCCTGGACCAGCTGGGTCTCCCCCAGGGCCACACGCACGGCCACGCTGCCCTTGGTCTCCTGTGGGGCAGGGGACAGGAAGAGGCCCCGTTGTCCGTCGGGCAGGTGACCAGCCAGCCCTCCCGTCTCCCGGCAGCCGGGGAAGCAGCTTGGAAGGAGAGGACCCCTGACGCCCCTCGCCCACCCTGCTGGCTTGCTGGCTCTGGCTCCCTCGTCTCTCACCGCAAATCAAGGGCCCAGGCCCCTCTCCAGCCCCCCTCCCCCCACTACGGTCACCTGGGCCTCTCTGTGGCTCCTCCCAGATGCCCAGTTCACCCCACCCCGGCACGGTGCGCCCTGCGGCTGGCCCGGAGCTGGGGACACCAGACGGGCTGCTCACTCACGTGGTCAAACACTTGGCTCTTGGTGGCGCTGTACTTCTGCGCAATGGCGTCGGCCACCGCGTTGGGGCCCATGAACAGCGTGTTCCAGTTGTGCGAGCTGAGAGGTGGGGGGGAGGACGGGGGATGTCAGACCGTGGCTGAGCAATGGGACGGTGCGCTCATCCGCCTGCCGTTCCAAGCCCCAAACCCCAAAGCCGCACCCCCCCGCCCCACGGCCAGCTTGCCTGGGCAGGCCAAGGACCCAGGGTGCGAGGACAAGGACAGCGACGGTGACATTAACAATGCCTGACACTTGTCAAGCACCTACTCTGTGCCAGGGGCTAGGTGCTCTGCCTGTGTCAGCCCGTTTAACCCCAGAACACTGCACAGCTGAGGCTGCACGACGACGCCCCGGTGTGCGGACAGGGAGCTGGGCTCAGCGAGGGCACAAGTGAGGCTGGCCCCGCCCACCGCGAGGGCCAGGGCCAGGGCCAGGGCCAGGGCGCCGGCGGCTGGGGAAGCGCGGGGCGAGGGCAGCGGGAGCCCGGGTCAGGCCCAGAGGCGGGTCGCAGGCGAGCACCTGGAGCTGCTGGCTTTGTCTTTGGCCTCCTTCTTCTTCTTGTAGGAGGATGTTCCTGGGGCACCGGCGTCCTCGCCGGCCTCCTTCTTGATGGTGGACGGCAGCACGTGCAGCATCCGGCCCTGGAGCGGGGGGAGCAGGGGGGTGAAAGGAGGAAGGGGCAGGGCGCCGGCCTCTCCAGGAGCAGGCCGTACCCCGTGCTGAAATCCTCCTCAGACGACGCGGCCTCAGGCTGAAGGACCCCATGCTCACCCTCGGTCCAGAATGGGGACCTGGTCCTGTGGGTGACACAGGGACCTGGCGCTGGGGGGGAGGCCACCTGTCACAGCCTCACGGAGGAGACCCATCAGTCTGTAAGTGCCGCCCGCAGCACCGCCACCCCGGCAGGCCCGGGCCCCACAGAGAGGCCGGCACACCGTGAACGAGGGGATGAGACGGGGGGTGGAGGGGGGAGACGAGGAGGCCTCAGGTGGAGGACGCGCACTGAGCACCTGCCCCGGAGACACAAGGCCATAATTATGTCCTACTGTGGCCATGTAACGGGACTGCACCCAGATTCCTTCCTTCCTCCTTTTTCCTTTCTGAAGTGCTTGCTTTCTCCAGACGAAGAACACATTTACTCGTTCAACAAATGCTTTCTGAGCGCCTACTATGTGCCAGGCGCTGTCCGAGGTGCTGACAGAACAGCGGAGCCCGGGCAGATCCTGCCCTCAGGGAGCCCCACCCCCCGTGGGCTGCACACGCTCTGGGTGTGCTCCCTTGGAAACTCGGGGTGTGCACATGCGTGCCCGCGCACACACAGCCTCCCCCCCCCCACCGGGGCCCCGCAGCCCCGCCAGCCCTGCGCGGCCACTCACCTGGAACACCTGCCCGTCCACCTCCGCGTAGGCCCTCACGGCGTGCTCAGGGATCATGAAGGTGACGAAGGCGAAGCCCTTGGGCTTCTTGGTCAGGCTGTCGATGGGGCAGTGCAGCTCGGACAGGGGCCCTGCGGACAGCGGGCGTCAGGCAGCGTCCCGCGGGCCGGGGTGGGCTGCGTGCTCGGCGCTGGGCAGGGGACGGGCCGCGACGGTGAGCGCGCTGGGCCGCTGCCCCGGGTCAGCCCGCGGAAGGGCGTGGCCGGCGGCGACAGCCAGGCTGCCTCACGAGTCAAGGGCGTCCTTCCACAACCCTTTACGCGCCTGTCCGGGGGGCAGAGGTGCCGGGGCTGGATCCTGCCCCCACCGCCTCTTTGCGCAGCCTCGGGAGGCCACCGCCCTCCAGGTGCCTCAGTCTTCCCGCCTGTAAAGTGGCACCATAAGAGCCCCCGGCTCCTGGGGCAGCCGGGAGGGCCAAACGCATGAGTGCGTGACACGAACTACACAGTGTCCTGCTGTCAGTGCCCTGGACGTGTTGGCTGAATCCTCTCACTGCACTCAAGTCCAAGTTCCCCTTTCTGAATCGTTGTCTGCTCTGAATCCAGGTGTGACGTGTGGTCTATGGGTCCTGTCCCCGTGTAGCCGGCCCTGCTGTAAGCTTGGCACCGGCCTGGGGGGAGGGTCCAGGACAGCAGCACCCACAGCCTGGGATGCCGCACCGCTCTGCCTGAGGGCGGAGCCCGACTCAGGGCCGCTCTGTCCCCACGCAGGCAGGCAGGCCCCCACGCTTTGGTCCTGCACTGCCCAGGGCCGGCCTCCGAGTAAGAGTGGGAGGGCCCTTGGGGGGATGCCGGAAGCACTAAGACCCCACCATCATTTTAAACCCCAACTTCCTTCCTTTCAGCCACGCCCCTACAAATACACCCTGTGTGACCCAGTTAAGCTATGGGCCTTCAAGTTCACATGCTGTGAGGTCACAACAGCAACAAGGACTTGACTACAAACAACCTGCCCCCGACACTGAAAGTGTCTGGATGCTCAGTTTGGACAGTGGGGCTACTTAGACCCAGGAGCACGGTCACATTCACACTGAGGCAAGGGCTTGGGCAGCAAGGGGCACCGCGGAAAAACGCACCGGAGCCCGTCGGCCCGGGTTCACCCTGAGAGCTCAGAGAGCAGGGGTTCAGGCGGCAGAAGGGGCCTGTGACGTGGCCGACTGCTTCGGGCTCTGCTGTGTATGTCACACTGGAATTCTCGCAGCCGCTCAGGGACCCTCAGCCCCATTTTACGGACGAGGAAACTGAGGTGGGAGGTCATTAGCCCAAGGTCAAGGCTGAGGGAGGGAGGCGAGGGGCTGGGGGTGCACGCCGTGGCCCGGGGTCCCGCCCCACCGAATCTGGAGAAGAGCCGCTCCAGGTCCTCCTCGGTGCTGGTGTAGGGCAGGTTCCGCACAAAGAGCCTCCCGGAGTCCGCCAGGTCCTCTTCCTCCTCGTGCTCCCCGAGCGTCCGGCCTTGCCAGGGCTTGGCGCTCGTCTTCGGGGGCCCCTTGGCCGTGGGGGCCTTCTGCTCCCTGAACACCTCGATGTAGCGGCCCCCTGCAAGGGGGGAGGGGTCAGTGCCCCGGGGGCAGGCCAGGGACTACACCGGCTGCTCAGGCCTGGCGGGGGCTGCTGGCCTCCTGTGAGCCCCGGCCCCTCCTGCTCCGCATTTCCCCATCGCTGGGCCCGTCGGATCCCTTCCGGTCCCCCCACCCCCATGTTGGTCTGCTCTGACTCAGGGCACCAGGGCAGGCACTTGGGTCTGTCCCGCTCGCTGCCCTCTCCCTGGAGTGCGGAGCGGGCCCCAGCTTTCGGCAGACCAAGACGTACGGAGCGCACGGCTGGGCAAACGGACGGACCCCTGCCACCAGGAGACCGGCCCGGGCCCGCTGTCCTCACCCATGTATTCTCTGTTGCATTTCAAAGCTTGCTTCACTTCCTCCTCGCTGCTAAAATCCACAAAGACGTAACCTGAGGAAGGACAATGACAAAGGTCGCATCGCAGGCCCCGTGGACGTGCACGGAGTCACCCAGGCCATGCCAGGTGTTCGGGCGAATCTGAGCAGGAAGCGGGGGAACTCCCTGTGCTCGCCAGTTCTGCAAACACAGGACCTCCCTCCCCCAGCGGCCACGTCCCCCTCCGCAGGGAGCGTTCAGACCCTGGGCCTGGTCTCACGGGGAAGATGCGAGCACAGGCGTCAGAAACTCGGGGCCTCTGCATCCCCCGAGCTGCACCTGCCCGGACCGGGCCGCTCTAGGGAAGGCGGGCCTGCGGTGGCCGTGACCCAGCTCAGCACCGGAGGGGCCGCCCCACTGCCACTCTGCCTGTGAGCCCGAGGCCCCAACACGCACAGAGGCAGCAGCACAGGGAGCTGCCCCTGCCCCCTACCTCCCGGGGCCCGGCCCTGCAAGGTGGCGTTCCCCCCCCACCCCTCCAGAGTGCGGGGGCATGCCCGCCCTCGGCTGACGGGCGGCAGTGCTGCCCCTTGGGCCACCCCATGGGGTTTGGTGGCCAGCACCAGGCTGTTCGGGTGCTCCCCCCCCGGGGCTCCTCCCTCCCCTCTGCTCCTGCACCCAGACACCTCGCCTGCTGCATGAACACCCTTCACTCTCTTCCCTCCTCTCAACCCCCTGCAGCCACAGCAGGGCCCCACCCACCCACCGCTCACCCTCTGTGGGGGGCGCTGCAAAAGCTCCCACCTGGCCCACGTGCCTCCCGGGGGCGCTGTCCTGGCTGGGGCCACTCTGAATCTGACCGTGGCCTCCCCTTGCTTTAAGCCCCCAGGGGACCCCCCACCCCACACCTGGCTGACGTCTACGGTCATTACCGAGCCCCCGGTCTGGGGGCCGCCTGCCGCCTCTGCAGCTCTCCCGTGGGGACAGTCTGTCACTTCCCCACAGCGTCCCGCTCCAAGGCCTCCAGGGCAGTTCCTCGGTCCTGACAACTCCGGAATGTTCCCCCTCACCCTGCCCCAGCCACCCCTGCTCCCCATTTCTGGTCTCCGAAGTGCCGGGAAAGCGGCGGTGCCACCACCACTGACGTTAACAGTGGCTCTCAGGGGGCCGGGGAGGGCGCGGTGGGCGTCCAGCACTGTTTCAATGCAGAGCGCTAACTCGCTGACCCTCACGGCGGGATCAGACATGGCCGCCCTCCCGCAGAGAGGGGCGGCTGGTCAGGGCCCTGCCTGGCGAGCAGAGCACAGCGCTCGGAGGAGAGCCACGCAGGGGGTGCAGGGACCTGGAGGGGACAGGACCAGACCTGGGGCAGGGGCCCCTTCTTCCCCAACGCTGTCCCCCACCTACCCCAGCTGCCCTGGAGCGCCAGCATCTCGTTGTGAAGGCCGGCCTGCGTGCCCAGCGGGGCCCGGAGGGCCTGGGCGCAGTTCTCGGAGCGGAGCCAGCTCTGAGGCTGCATGTCTTGTAGCCCCCGGCCTGGCCCATGAGAGGCACAGGCAGGCTCCCATCTCCCCAAGCTCAGATGCTTCCTCCCAGCATGTTCCCCGCCCCAGAGCGGCCAGACCCAGGGCTCCGGAGCCCAGGGAGTGAGCGGGCCGGCTGCCGGGGGCGGGCACCTGGGAGAGGGCATGAGGGGGCCACGGCACACACCCCTGGCAACTCAGAGTGCACACTCCTGGCACCTCGGCCCAGGGACTTCGCTCAGTGAACCCCAGGACCGGGCCCATCTCTCCAAAGCAACAGGGGAGCCCCCTGGCATTCGTGTGGGCCAAGGGGGAGGGAGAAGGGCAGAGAAACAGGGAGAACTACATGCCGGGCCGCCAGAGGCCGGGCCGAGAGGCAGACCCTCGCCCCCAGCAGTCAAGCCGAGCCCCAGAACCACCAACAGAAACAGGAGCCACCTTTCCAGCGTCTCCCCCGCCCAGCCGCCCAGCCCCACACGGCCCCCTGCTGCCGCACCAGCCCCCCAACACCCCGTCCTCACCTGTTTTGTTCCCGTGGGCGTTTCTCACGATTCGGATGGCTGCCGGTTTCAGGGGTGCCAGGAATTCCAGCACGTTCTTCTGTAAGGAGAAGGAAGGTTCCCCGCTTTACCGACCCCATAGTGACAGGGCAACTCAAAGAAGGAAACCGGCCAAACTTCTGAATTCAGAAGGGTTGTCAAAGGAGTTCGTCCCTTACTGTTTCTCGAGTTTCTCTAAACTACACACACCTTTCCTCCATTGCTAAGTAAGACCAACTTGGAAAAAATTTAAAAAGAAACTGGACTTAAGAACATACATATGAAAGAGTAATGCTGCCACCACCAGCATCTGAAAGCATCATGTCTGGCCTCTTCTCCCCAAGTGCCTCTCCACACACTTGGGTCGGACCCGGCCTCTGCCGCTGCCCCTCGAGCCCCGGGGCCCGGTCCCCCGCAGGTCCGCGCGCCGCAGGCCACGGGGGAAGTCAGGCAACGCTCCGCGTCCCTCCCCGGCTGTCAGGTGTCAACGACCCGATTATTCCGGGAAGGGCTTTTCCTCACTCCCAGGTGCCGGCCTGTCGGGAGATCCCGCCCACTAGTGGGAGGACACGAGTGCCTGTGTGTCTCCGCACGACTCCACGCCTGTGTCTTTTACTTGGTGATGCACACCCTGGAGAACCTCCCAGAGCACTCTTTTTAAGGACATGTCACATTCTACTGTTTCAGAGTGCCACAGGTCTGTTAACCAAGCTCACTACACCTCGACCTCTTCAGCCTGGGCACTACAGTGTTAAAGGTCATTTTCTTTCCGTTGATATATGAGAGGAATCTTTTCTTCCATTGTACTTTGTCATTCTCTGTGGAGAGGAAAGGAGTGACTGTTCTTTGGGTCTTCATTTTGCAAAAGGCCATCTAATGTTTACTTTTTTTTTAATTAAAGCATGCGATTTTCTGCACAGTTGGTATTGAAAGGCTCTTGACCCTCAATTCCCAGACAACTCACGTGGTCTTGCACAACCCAAATGCATGCGACTCAGAAGTTGCTTAAGTGTTACTTTTTAAAAGTTGGTAAACAGACAGACTATCGATAAAGAGGGTCCCTTCCAGAGAGAAAAAGGGCAAAGATGATCAAGCGCTTTGCAAAAACAGACGTATGTGTGATTTACAAATCGTGAAAGCATCAATCCCACTAATGATTTAAAATGTAACTTAAGACAAGACGGCATGTGCTCATCTTGTACGACGGGATTCGCCCCCAGGGCTCCCGGAGACGGACCGCGCACACCCTGCGGAAGGGAGGGGAGGCAGCAGGACTTCCGGAGGGACACCGCCCCCGCGCATCGAACCCTGACCACGTCCACGTGCCTGCACCAACGTGGACGCGGGGCAAAGGCTGCCAGAGCGCGACCCCCAGCAGGTGCCGCCCATGACCTGTGCCTTAACACTGGTTCGTGCGTTGTAGGAGGATTATTTTAAAAAGAAAGGAGGAGGAGCAGGAGGAGGGGGAGAGGAAGAGGAGTAACAGTAATGATAACAATAACGTACAATGGAAGGACGTGGACGCACGGCCCACAAAGTCTGAACCGGGACCCTCGCAGAAAGAGCCCTGCTAACTCTGAGCACAGAGCGCCGCCTGTGTTGTTGCTGATCAACAGCGTGAGCAGAAGCGGCCCCGCGCCCCGGCTCGGGAGATGGGGCGACTCTGTCCCCGTGTGTCCAGAGGAAGGGCTACGCACACATGAAAGACCCCTTTGTAGCCCAGCGTCCGACATGCAAAGACATTCGAGACCTAACTTAGCGACCGGGGTGGGTTCGAAATAGTTCCTGGGGCAGGGCTGGTTTTGCAGAACAAAGGGCGGGGCCCGCTGTTTGCACACAAGGAAGAAACGTGGAAGGGGAAGAACCCAGGTTTGTGAGTGGCCGTCGCCGGATGGGACTTGCACGAGCAGGGAGACTTTACCAAGTGCCCTCGGCTGCAGACGCCGAGCCAGCCGATGGGCACGTGGCCCCATCAGGCCCACGACTGTCTCTGTGGACACAGTGTCCCGGTCACACGGCCGTGCCTGCTGGGGGCAGTAACGTCGCCCAGACCGCCCCTGTACCCAGACTGGGGACCACGACGCCTCCTTCCTCTCTTCCACTGGCAGAAGCCCGCCCCCCCTCGCACACGGGACCCGAGAGTGGAACCTGTCTTTCTCGGGCTCGGGACAGCCTCGCGCTTCCTGACCCTGACAGCGCCTGACACCTTCCTCACCGGCCTTCTGGCCCCCAATCCTCTCCAGCTCCAGTCCTCAGCTGGTCCCGAACCCCCAGGGTGCAGGGGCCCCCGGCCCCCGCCCTCAGGTCTGGCCCCCCCTCGTCCCCGGGGTGCGGCACGAACCTCCGTGACGTTGAACGGGGCTCCCCGAAGCTTCACCGTGTGGGGGGCGGTGGGCTCCCTCCGGGCCGCCGGCTTCTCCGTCTGCAGACGGCAGGGAACAAGGAGACAGGCACGGTGAGTCCCCGGCACAAGGGAAGTCTTGCTCCCAGATGTATCGGTGAGCGCACCAGGGGTGCCGTGCCGGCAGGACGTGCCCCGCGGACGGACATGCAGTCCGGCCGGCGGGCGGATGGAGCGTGCTCACAGGGGCCCCGGCTGCAAGGGGGGCGGAGAGCATGGGCAGCAGCCCGCGGTGAGGCCACGCTCGCCGCCCCTGGGCGGTCCAGGGCCCGTCCGCACAGACACGGTGCCCAGCCCTGCGCAGACCCCGCGGGCCTGCAGAGTCTGCAGACGACCTGAGCGAGACGGGGGGCTCGGGGTCTTCTCTGCGATTCCGCAATCCAGATGGCTCTGGCAGCCCCAGATGTTTGGTAACCCTGGCAACAAAACCTGCTCACACCTGCACTCATTGGCCAGTAAAGCCCCATCGACTGAGGGAGTTCTGAGGTGACGTCTTTCCCACGAAGTACGAGGGGTCACCTCCGGATTCACCGCGGGAAAACCCACGCACTTGACGGGGCGGGAGAACGCACGGGGTGCGGGGTGGCCTCCTGGACCCGAGGCCTTCCAAGCGGCGACACACACCCTGGCCCGGGGACCCTGACACGAGAGCCCGGGGACCTGGACGACACAAGGCTCTGGCCCGTCGCCCAGCAGAGAGGCCCCCGGGAGAGACGAGGAGGAGGCCATGAGGGTCACACTCCAGTTTGTGGCCTGAACCTCAGAGCCCAGCAGCCCCGGGTCCGCACCCTGACTCCCTCGCTCCCCAGCCGTGACCTTGGGCAGGTCACTTCCCTGCTCTGGGCGGGGTTCCCTCCTCCGTGAAGCGGGACGTGAAGGACACCAACCCCCATGACCGCCCTGCCGCGAGAGCCGATGACAATGGTATGGCAGGTACTATACCCGGCACTTAGTAGGAGCTCATTTAACTTTGCTACTGCTGACCGGGGGCTGACGTCTGTCCACGCTGCCACTGGACACAAAGCAGAAGGTGCTAGTGCCCTCCAGCCCCTCCCCCTGGAAGGCAGCCAGGCCTCAGGCAGCAGGGGACACGGCAGGGGCACACGGACCCCCTCCTCTGCCCGCCCCCACCCCCCAGGTGCCCAGGTGCACACCCACCTCGGCTCTGGCCTCCTGGGGCTGCTGCTTGTTCCCAGACGGCGCCCCCTGCTCTGCGCCCGGCCCCGTCCTGTCCCGGTCCCTCTGGGCGGGGGCAGCGCGCGGACCCTCCTCCTCGTCCTCGCTGCCTCCGTCACAGTTCACGGCTTCATCCTCGCTCTCCTCCCCGGAGGAGGACGGCGAGTCGGCCCTCGCCACCTTGGACTTTAGGTACTCCATGTCCGACAGCCCCTTCTGCACGGCGGCCTTGGGTTCGGGGCCACTGCCCTCTTCTGGGAAGACAGAGGGCTGGGAGTCAGCGAGTCCCACGCACACCAGGGGGCCGGGGGGGGGGGGGGGGGACAGCAGGGGCAGGGCGGTGCCACGCCCACCGCCACCCTGTGCCGCACAGCCTGGTGGGTGCTCTGATACACATCCAACGGGGTGAGACGCGGGAGTCTGGACATTTTTGTGCCCCAGGTCAAGGACCATGTGGCTCCTCGCACCAGCCTTGCCCTTGTCACCCGTTCTTTCCGTTGTGACCGGTGGGACTTCCTGCAGCTCCAGGCGAAACCCCCCTGGTTTCCAGGGGCTCACAGGAAGGAACTGGAGCCCAGCCCCCCCACCCCCCCGCCAGCTCCCAGGGCCGCAGCCGCCCTGAGCCTCGAGGAGCGCCCTCCACCTGCACCCCCTCCCCGCCTCTCCCCTAGGGTGTCCCACCAACTCCCGGCTTTGCATGGAAGCTAAACCGAGCACGGCATTCACGTCAAATCCGTTCTCTCACTTTAAGTCAACATCGATTCCCGACCCTCTACCACCCTTACCCTGGATTGCGGCTGCTTACGGAATCCATTGTCCCCGCCCCACACCGCGCACCTTCTGAGAATGGGGGCTCCTCCCTCACCCCCGTCCACCTGGGTCTCGGGTCTCGTCCCCGGAGGCCTTCCCTGGGAACTGCCCCCTCCCCTTTCCTGCCTCTCCTCTGCGCCACCCGGCTTCACATGACGTACTACATAGGGACTTATTCCCCTGTGGTGTCTGGGAGGCAGGGTTCATCTGCTTCTGCTCACTGTTGGGTCCCCGGTGCCTAAAGCCATGCCTTGTATACAGCAGGAGCTCGGCATTTGCGTGACTGAACGAATGAATAAGTGACCGAGATCAGCCAAGGCCACGTTCCTGCTGTTGGGATAGCGAACCCCACCGGGGGCCCCACGCTGGCGTGAGGCCCCTAAGCACGCGGGAACTCGCGGATGCGCGGTGATGGCCTTACCGCCTGGGCCCTCCCCGGCCCCCTCCTCCTCCTCCTCCTCCTCGCTCTCCTGGCCCGAGTCGGAGTCGAAGTTCAGGTAGTCACTGGCCGGCTTGCTCTTCCCTTTTGAGGGCTGCGCGTCCAGGGCATCGTTAGCCCAGGTGGCCGCCTGTGTCCGCTTCTGGTGCACGGACAGGAACTCCCGGAACTCGGTGTCCTCCTTCAGCTGGTGGCACCGCGGCGGGGCGGCGGGAAGAGGAGACGACTCGGGTCAGACTCACCCCTCCCAACTCTCAGCAGGGTAAGCGCATCCGCCAAGTTCATTCCCCCCCGTGGCAGGAGGACCCCCTGGGGGGCCAGCTGGGCCAGTCCGGGGAGGGCCGGTGGACTCTTCCCCAGGCGAGAAGACTGAGAAGCCCCAGGCTCGGCTCTGCCAGCCGCCTGCTCCCAGCCCACCCCCGCCCCGCCCCGCCAGGACCACGGCTGGGTGCCCCCGCTCTCGGTCCATGGGACAGACTCACCGTCTCCAGTGCACCTGCTGACTTTTTCTTCTTGTCCTAAAAACAGAAGGCACAGGCGGTGAGGGTCACAGATGCTGAGTGTCACAGACGAAGGGCGAGCGAGGGGAGACGAAACTCTCCTGTCCTGGGAGGGCCCGCCTTCAGGAACCGCCGAGAGGGACGCTCAGACCATCCCTGTCCCCGCCACCCTGAGCCCCCAGGGGTCACCGCCCTGCTGATGCTGGGCTGGAGGGTGGGAGTGATGACCTTGTACGTACTTTCTTAGCTTCTGGGGGGACGGAGTCTTTGTCTTTTGGAGGTGGCTTGGACTGGCTTGGTTTCTGGGCATGCTTGCTCCAGGCTCGGGGCTTCGTCGGGTCCCCAAATGACTTGCAGAACTCCACCTGCACGGGAGAGAGGCGATGATGACGGGGACACCCGTCCCTGCGCCCAGCCTGGGTGCCCCACTCCAGCACCTCAGAGCGCGGGGGCTCTTTACAAGGCAACTGCCACCGACTAGCTGAGCTGGCTGAAGCAAGTTACCTGTCCTCCCCCAGCCTCGTCTTCACCCCCTTTAACGTGACTGGGGTCACGAACAGTTACCGAGGAGCCCCTCACGCCAGGGAGTCTCCAGGCTCTGTGTGTGTAAGTGCGTGAGCCACCCGACAGTGCGGGGTGGGTGGAGGGGCCGTGACCTCCGTGCCTCTCAGGTCAGGGCACTGATGCACGGGGAAGTTTAGGCACTTGCCCCAGCCACCCGGGGACAAAAGGACAGAGACGGGAACTCCAGGTCTCCGGCTCTGGAGCCCAGGTTCTCCGTCGTCTAATCCAAAGGGCGGCAGAAGGTCAGGGCATAGGGCCAGGTACAGCGAACGGCTCTCGTGTTCCCACACTCACCGGGAAGCGTGGTGCTCGACTGGCGCGAGAACTGCTCTCGGGCCCTGAGAAGAGCAGGGCGCCCCTCTGGGGCTCGGGGGGAGTCCCGAGTGTCACGCCTAAGCTGACGCTCCTCTCTGGCCCTAACCCTCCAACACACCCCAGGTGACCTTTGCAAGAGGTGGCCCTGCTGGGGGCCCTGCTGGGCACTTCCCGCCACAGTCGAGGGGACGCGGTCAACCAGCTACTCCCCCCGGGGAAGGAGCTGCCGCTGTGTCACCGCCTTTCAATGTGAACTTCTCAAAATAGTTCTGTTGTTTCAGTGACAATGACGTGTGCTCATGTATAAAATTCAAATAGCGGGAAGTACAGGAAAGTGAAATTTTTTTTTTACCCCAATTCCTTCCTGTCACCGAGAGAGAGAAACTGCTATTCTGGCAGAAACCCTTCCACGTGGCTCCACGCACCATCACACACACAGGGACGGAGGGAAAGGATTCTACAAACAGGGTCACGTGATGGATGCTGTTCAGTATCTGGTTTTATCCTTCTCCATAAAGTGTTACAAGAGTTTTTACCAAGTCATTAAATGTACATGAGTGACACGAGTGGGACCTCCTCCTCCAGGAAGCTCTCCTGACTCACCACTCACCCCCAGCAAGGAAAGGGGCCCCTTCTGTTCTTCGGCACCAACCACACTGATTGAAAGCAGCCTCTTTACCTGGTGCCCCCCCCTTTCCCCCTGACTGTCTGTAGGCTGTTGGCCCCATGAGGATGGGGCCAGGGGTACCACACTCTCCCCAAATTCCTGGCACTGAGTGAGTACTGCCTGAGTGCCTGCCCAACAGGCTCGTGAATGAATGATGCACAGGTAATATCGCATCACCCGTGAGCTTGTTAGACATGCAAATCCTTGGGTCCCCAACATACTGAATGAGAAACTCTGAAAAACGGGCCCCAGGAAACTGTTTTCACAAGCTCTCCAGGGGGCCTGTAGGCCTGAAAGATTGGGAAGGAGCGAGGAACACCGATGACATCACAGCCCGAAAGGGGACAGGAGGGTGGAGGGGAAGATCAGTTTCGACAGGCAGGCAGGGGCAAGACTTGCGCCCACCACTCACCGTGATCCGGGAAGTGTCGACAAAGCTCCTGTTGAAATGGTCCAGGGCCTTCTGGGCCTCTTCCTCCGACTTGAAGCCGATGAAGCCGAACTTGCGGAACTTGCCGTCTCTGGTGAACTTCAGGCTGCAGTCCGTCAGCGTGCCAAAGGCAGCGAACAGCTGCTTGAAACGCTCCTCCTTCATCTAGGACAGAAGGGGCGCCGTGAGGGAGGAGCTGGGAGGGAGGAGCTGGGAGGGAGGAGCCCGGAGCCCTCAGAGCCGAGAGGGGACGGAACGGGCTGGAGACTGGAGGCTGTGGTTTGAGCAAGTCCCCTATCCACTTCATCAGCGAGGAAACCAAGACTCGGAATGGCTGCAATGAAATCCCCCTATCCTGGGAACTGTTAGGATGGAACAGACTCTGCTTCTCCGTTTATACAATACTGTACTACTGCCTGAAATTTTAAAATTGTATCAATAGTGCTCCTCTCCATCCCCAACCCGGGGCGGGGAGGTACAGTTAAAAAATCACAGCAATGACACAGAAATGGCTTTGTGTCCTTACACTTTCTAAGGAGACAGAGTCCCAAGGGGTAGAGTCAAGAGTACAGAAGACCTGCTGTAGCATCCAAATGGCACATTTTGGATTTCAGGAATGAGTGTATTAGCAGCAGCGGTGCGGCAAGTGTTTCACGCGTGAAAAGGTGTAGGGAGACAGGTAAGGATGGTCCACGGCCCCCAGTCATCTGACATCTCACACATTCGTCTGTTTTGACACTCATTTACTGGGTAGGTGTTTCCTGAATGCCTGTCACTGGTTCTGTGCTGGATTCTAGGGGGACGGAGACAAGTACTGGATAATGGTTTAAAGCCCTTCCCACCCACTCAGCTGTCGCAACGTAATCCGTCAAGCCCTAGAGACGGCATTGGGCATTAGAATGAAGGCCGGCCCTAAGCCTATTGACTTCCTACGCGCCTCCCCAACAGTCCCGAGTGCGGAAAGGCAACAGGAACAGCGTGTGACCCAGTCATGAGTCGGGAACATAACGGGATCGGAGGAGAGGAGAGGGGTTGTGGGAGCAGACACTCGGCGCGAGGTGGGGACTGGCATCTGCCTGGGGAAAGTTGTCCAGCTGCGGGTCAGGTCGCCACAGGTTAGCTGTGAAGCCTTGAGCAGTCACTATCCGCCCCGCCCACTGTCAAGTGGCGATAAGCCGAAGATCCTGTCCTGGTTTTCGAACCCTCCCGGAGTCCTGCCCCAGAGCGAAAACCCCTCAGTTCTCCCCAGCCGCCTTCCTACCAACCCCCGGGGCTCCTGACTGGCCCTGATTGCAGATCCCCGGGTCAGGCCCTGCACTCACCCCATTCGGGAGGTTCTTCACGATCAATCGCGACATGGCGCACGGTGCCACTGATCTGATTCCAGCACGGAGGGACAACGTCTTCCACCAACCACTTTTCACGCTGCAGCGATGGGCGCCGCCATCTTCAGCGAGCCGGAATAGAGTCACGTGCCCCAGACCTAGGCCAGCCCCGGAAGTGGGCGTGGCCAGAGCCAGAGCGAACGGAGGAAGTCACACCCACAAGGGCCGGGCCTGTCGCTTGCATTCTGAGCAGGCACAGGCTGTTTGGCGGTGCCCGATGAGATCAATGCAACGTCGGCAGGGGGCGCTGGTGCCTAACACAGGCGGGGGATCGCGGAGGATTGCGGGGTATTCTGGAACTGTTGTAGACGAGGAAATCATTTCAGCCTTCTTCACTATTTTTATGTGATTGAGTCCTAAACTTGAGAATGCGGACAGGATTGAGGATTCTTGCTTCCCTTTAGAAATGGGGAAACTGAGGCCCAGAGCGGTTGCCAAGTGCCGTGATTCAATTACTGAGCATCACCTGCAAATGTTGGACAGCGTGCATTGGAAATAAACCACCGCCGTTTTGCCAGCGAGTGAACTGGGAACCAGAGGAGTCAAGCCGCGTGCTCTAAGTCGTGCGGCCAGGAAGCATTAGGCAGCATTAGGGACTGAGTAGTTTTAAATGATAGGGTTACGGGGTGTGTTGGTTTCTAAATTGCTGTAACAAATTACCAGCAATTTAGAGGTTGAAAACAACAGAAATCTTTTTTGTCACGGTCCTGGAGGCCAGAAACCCGAAATCAGGGTGTCAGCTGGGCAGCGTTGTCTTCGCAGGCCCTAGGGAAGAATCCTTCCGCGCCCTTCCCAGCCCTTGGTGTCTCCAGGTGTTTCTCTGCTTGTAACTTATATCCCTCCGCTCTCCCTCCGTCTTCACGTGGGCGTCTCCCCTCTAGTGTTTGAGCTGAATCTATCCCCTCTTTTCTCTTATTAGGACACTGCCATTGGGTTTAGGGACCATCTTAAATCTGGAAGGATCTCACCTGGAAATCCTTTATTTATGCTAATAAGGTTCCAGGGATTAGAACGTGGTCATATCTTTTCTGGGGGACACTATTCAATCCACCACTAGAGGATTTACTTGCTCTCTAGTAAGTTACTCTGAAGATCAAATTTCACCTTCTGCAGGTCTTATGTTGACTGTTTATTCAGTGCAAACACGCAGATACACGCAAAAAATGTACCCTGCAGCCTAGAGCCCATGCCCGGTTTCTGTGTTTGAAAGTCACTTATTAATTTAACAGATACGTATTGATATGTGTAAAAGTACTTTTTAGTTAAATGACGATTTGGGTGTTGTGTTTTTTTTCCTGCACTTCGTGACTTGGGTCAGGACCGGCTGGAACAGGCTTTACGAAGCTGCGCCGAGATCTTAGCCTTTCATGAGAGGTCAGGTGTGGGTTGCCCAGCCCGTCCTGGCTTTGTGTTCTTTTATTATTTTCATGAACTGCCTTTATTAAAACGCGCAGCTCCACATAGCCTCCCCTCAAGAAATTCACAAATCAGAAGGTATTAAAAGAAAATGAAATGCTCTTTGCCAATCCACACGTTTCAACGCCGGGCCAGGGAAATATGGTCGCCACATGTCGCGGTCGGCGGGACCGTTCCCGGGCCGTATATTCCCGGGCATTTAATAAACAGCCACGTTGTGCGGTTATTATTCGTCTCCTTGCTCTCCTGACTTCCTGCTTTGTCCTCTTTCTCCTTTCCTCCCCCAGCAAATAGGATCAGGGGCACCTGGACCCCACGGGTCCGGCCTCTCTGATTACACCTGGGAATTAAAAAAAAAAAAAAAAAGCAACAAATCAGCCAGGTGTGAGCCAGCCCCACTCACGGCTGCCTTCACCAGTGGGGCTGCACTGGAGGGAATTAACTTCCCGTCCAGGAAAGGCCGGAAGTGGGGAGGGAGGTTGGGAGGGGCTGAGAGGGGCGGGATGGAGGGCAAACGCTGAGCTCCGTGTTCTCCCCGTGACAAGTATTATTAGGGAGAACGTCAGGCAAACCTGCAGAATGTCAGCCTGCCTACAAAATCCCTAACTAGAACGCTCCCAAACCTCCAGCTCACCCTGGCCTGGCAGCTCGGTTGGCTGGAGCATCGTTCCGATTCGTCGAGGCTGTGGGTTCGATCTCCGGTTAGGGCACCTGCAAGAATCCCCTCATGAAGGCACACGAATGTGGAGAGACAAATCGACAAATTGTCTCCCTCTCTCTCTTCCTTCTCTCTTTCCAAACAAACAGAAAAAAAAACAAAACAAAACCGGAGATCATCATAAACAAGGAAAATCTGAGACACTGTCACAGCCCAGAGGAGCCCAAAGGGATGTGACAACTAAAGGGAACAAGGGGTCCTGGGTGGGGTCCTGGGATAGCCAATGGGTGTGGGGAGAAACAGGGATGTCAAAAGAAAGCGTGGCCTTTAGTTTAAACAGTAAGGTGTCACCATTGGTTCGTTAATCGTGACAAGTGCAATGCAGTAGTGCTGACAACAGGGGGCGCTGGGTGCAGCCTATGTGAAAACGCTAATATTCTCACAACTGTTCTGTAAACCTCAATGGATTCCAAACTAAGGAGCGCTTTAAATGTTTTTGAAAAGATATCTACCATTAAAAGGATGGAGGACCTCGTTATTTACCGACGTGGAATAATTGTCAAGGTCCATTACTAAAGGCGGCAAGCAAACTGTGGACCCACGCTTCCTTCGTGGAAAAGAAAAAAGTCTCTCTCTGCTTGCGTGCAGCTCCGTGGGGGTCAGCAAACTCTGTCCCGGGCCATGTTTGGCCTGCCGCCCATTTTTCTATGGCTGCATCCAGCTAATAAGAATGTTTTCCACATTTTTATTTTTATTTTTTATTTAATCTTTATTGTATTTTTTTTCCCATTACCATTAAGGCCCCTTATCCACCCGCCCCCACCCCCCAGCAATTACCGCACTGTTGTCCACGTCCATGAATCCTTATTCCTTTTTCCTCAATCACTCCAGCCCTTAACCTCCTGCACATTTTCAAACGGTTGGGGGGAAAAATCCAAAGAAAAATGGTGTTTCGAGACTCATAAAAGTGATAGGAAATTCCGAGGGTGTCCCTCAATAAAGTTTTATTGGCACACAGCCACACCCCTTCACGCACGCCTGGTCTACGGTTGCTCTTTCGTTGTTGATGAAAGAGCCGAGTTGGGTTGTTGCCACAGAGACCATCACGAAGCTGAGTATGTTCGCTGCCTGGCCCTCTGTAGAAAATGCTTGACTTCCCCCTGCACTGGGCTGTCCCTGGGGGCCAGGGGTGGGGGAGGCGAAGGAGAAATCGGTAACAGTTTTCTCTAGAAAGAGCAGGACAGCCCCGGGGAGAGGGGTACTTGCAGTGTGGGGGTGTGTGTGTTGCATCTTTTTTTTTTTTTAGAATCTAATTCATTTTCTCCTGGCCCATAATTCACAATGCAAGTCCTTGTCATATTTCTTTAGAATCTGCCGTATGTCCCCGGTCTTTCTTCTGCTGTCACAGGCCGGATGCTTTTGGAGGCTCCCAGCCAGCTGCGCTCGAGAGCGCCTCTCGGGGTGGGCTGATCTGACATTTCTGCCTGATCCCACTCGGCTACGATGGGACTGTGTCCCCAAGTGGCCGATGGGAACTAACTCTGCTCGCCCGGTTAAGACACTGCCTGCCGGTGTCCTGCTCCGGAAAGCTGTCCCCTCTGTCATCAACAAGCCCTGCGCGGGTCTAAGAAATATCGCCCGTATTTAGAAAGAGACAGAGACAGTCACGGTGTCCTATCCATTGACACACAGGGAAACGGAGGCCCAGAAAGAAGAAACTACACGCTCAAGGTCACACAGTGGAGACCAAGGTCAGGTTCAAGGGGGCTTCCTTTTGCTCCTCTCTACCTGTGGTCACTCTCAGGGATCAGGAAGTTGGGGCAGCTGCGGGGAGCCGAAGACCACCGCCCTGGGTGTCACCACCTGACACCTTGAATGTGGCCCCAGCATTTCACAGCCTGTCACCCCAGGAGCCCCCCAGAAGAGCAGCCCCCTGCTGCTCTAAGGCATCTGAAGAAGAGCCGCAAAGGGTCGAGGTGGCCAGAGTCACTTGAGACAGGAGCCCAGGTGTGCACCAGCCCCGGCCACACCTGCACGGACATCAGAAAGCTCACTCGCTGGGGGCAGATGGTGGCTGAGCCTCGCCCCGCCCCTCCAGGCCCCGCTGGGGACCGAACATCAGAGATGTGGGGGCCCCTCCTGCTTTTGGCAGCGAACCATAAATATTCGCAACAGAAGTCGCAAATCATTCATCAAACGGAGCGGGGCTGGGGAAAGCTCAGCCCGTTCTGAGGAGACAAGCAGATGGGGGTCTTACCCGGGGCTCTGGAGGCCCCCAAATTCCCGTGCCTGTTTAATCCTGCTGCTGCCATGCTGGCCCGGGCCCGAGGCAGGGCGTTCTGGGGAGGAACTGCAGATAAAACCAGAATCGTCCCACGTTTTCTCATTTTTTCAGCTCTGCCACGGGCAGATGCCTCCTACGCATGAAAGGACCACCAAGGCCCGGTTTGGAAAGAAAGTTCATTTCCTCACTTTGACCTTGAGGTCCTCTGAGGTGCAGCCACGGACCGCCACTCCCCACCCCTTGGCCCCAGCCAGGCTGGCCACTTCCTGCTCTTCCAACGGGCAGCCCTTGCTCTCCCCGCTGTGGCCGGAATGGTGCCCCGGCGACCTGGGTGGCAGTCCCGGAAACCTGTGGGTGTGGTCTCACCCAGAAACAGGGGCTTTGCAGATACAATTAGTTCAGGATGTAGAGAGGAGATCACCCTGAATGTAGGGTGGGCCTCGCAGCCAATGTCTGGTGTCCTTAGAAGGAGGCCGCATGGCAACACAGACACGCAGGGAGACCTTCAGACAGTCACGGAGGCACACCTTCAGCGGTGCAGCCACAAGCCAAGGGCTGCTGGCAGCCGCCGGAGGCTGGGAGAGCCGTCAGAGCCAGCACAGCCCTACGAGCACCGTGGTTTCCGCCCTCCGGGCCCCAGCACTGTGCGAGGACACATCTCCGTCGTTTAAGCCACCCAGACTGTGGTCATGTGCTGCAGGGGCCTGTGGGAGATTCACACCCTGCCTCA